CCAAAGATACACATGCCATCTGGTGAGAATGGAGCAGAGAAGTCTTTTATTCATGACACCTGGGCGCTGAAGGGGAGCAGGAGGTTTCTGCACAGGAAGGGGGTGACTGTGCAGCGCTGTGGCTAACTGCTGGCACAGAGGTACACGGCCGAGTCCCCCGGGTTCTGTGGGCTGGATCTTCAGAGTGGAGAATGACTTATTAAGCATCTCAGCTGAGAATCGCTCATTGGGCATTCCTGACTTGTCCAGAAGTTTGGCAAACCTGAAGGAAATCAGAAACTTTATGCCTTCCACTGAGGTCTGTCTGTACCAGTAAAGGTAGTCATGGTTTGCAATCGGCTCACAAGTCAGAGCCACTTCTTGTCCTCGGTCTGTCACCTTGTGTCTGGGTGTCTGGGTGACTTCAGCATGTGTGGGCCCTGTGGAAGAAGACAGAGTTTGGGTATAGGATAAGGAACATAAGTGAAATCACAGTTGGGAATATCAAAAAATTAGATTTTTCATTTTTGGAGACTCACCTCTGCTCAGGAGACAGAGGGCCACCCAGCAGAGGAGCCTGGTGGCCATGGCAGGGTGCGACAGGCAGAGGCTCCACCCAGGCTAGGCCCTTGTGACCCTGAACACAGGAGCAGGACTTCTGGTTCCTCTGGGCTCCACAAGGTGGAGTGTGTCTTGGTAGTGACATCGCTCTCTATCATTTCTCACAGGACCTCCTACCAACAGTGGACATTAATTGTCAGTTGAATTGACTGGAATAGGCCATGTCTCTTTTAGGGTTTGTTTGGACCATTCAAAGTCTCCGGGACTTCTATCAAGTGTCACTTCTCACAACCCTGTGCTTCCACCATTCCTTGTTCCCTGATGTTCCATAGTCTACCATCTGCCTGCCATGGCAACATGCGTGTGCCATAGCCACTGCAGAATGTGTCCAAAAAGACAATACTCTGATCTTCGCATCCTTCATAGCCCTGTCAAGGCACTGCCTGACTCCCAGACACACAAATCTGAGTAATTCCTGGCTGAGCTGGGGCTTTTTCCTAATCTGTCCCAGAATCATTCAGATTGCACACAAGGGTGATTGTGAAGGGAGGGAAACAGATGCCCTGGGAAAGGAGGGTTGGAGTCAAGCAGCATTGACTTTATAGAACTAATCCTTGTTCGTGGTTTAGATAATGTGAGAAATAAGACCTGAGAGTTTCAGAGCAGTTGCCCATGTGGGCTGAAGTTCAGAGACTATGAGAATCACAGGGAGTGGATTCTGCATTAAAGAAAGGAGAAAGACATAGGAACATGCAGTGATGAAATGGACATTTTGGAAGGAGAACATCTTTGTTCACTGCATGGTCTCGACTTGGACGTGCTCTTGGATAGGATTGGAGACAAAATATTACTTGAAGTGAAGAGATCAGGAAGCTGGGAAGCAAGCCCGTGTATAAATTGTCCACAGGCTGATGGAGTTCCCAGTACTGGCAGGATCCGTGGTGGGGAGGAAGGGAGTGAGGACAGGCCTGAGGGTAGAGAAGTCAGGGCAACATGAAAGGCCGTGTTGTAATCCACCTGTGTGAGGAGCTGTGTAGTAAAGCCAGGGAGAGGCAAATGTTCTACAATAAGTAGTTAGGATTTGGAGGACCAAGAATGCACTGAAATTGGACAGAGAAGCAGATTCCAACTCTTGATATCAAAGTAGGAATTTTATTCTATTGCTAAATTGAAGATCAGGACCCCTGGATGACAGAATGAACAATGATGAATGGAATTTAGCTATAAGAGAGACTCTAGAAAACGTGTGTGTGTGTGTGTGTGTGTGTGTGTGTGTGTGTGTGTGTGATCCTGAAGGAATTCTGTTATCAACTTAGAAGGGGAGGAGAATAGGTGGCTGAGGAGACCTTACCAGGATCTCCTATGATTCAGGTGGAAAGGCCAGGGCAGGCAGGCAGGAGCACACACAGTGCAGGTAACTGAGGTCTGTCTCTCAGGTGTGAGGAGTGCTGAGCCCACCGACAGTGAGTGAGGGAAACCTGAAGCCCACTTCCTACATTGTTCCCTGTGCTGGGGTTTCTCTGTTGATACCTTTTGCTTTCTGCCCTTGTCATGCCCCAAACTCACACATGTCTCTTGGTGACAGCGGAGCAGAGAATATTTTTACTCATGACCCCTGGGGGCTGATGGGAGAAGGGGAAGCAGGAGGTTTCTGCACAGGGAGGGGGTGACTGTGCAGTGCTGTGGCTAAGCTGCTGGCACAGAGGTACACGGCTGAGTCCCCAGGTTCTGTGGGCTGGATCTTCAGAGTGCAGAACGACTCATTAGGCATCTGAGCTGAGAATCTCTCATTGGGCAGACTTGTCTTGTCCACAGGTTTTGCAAAGCTGAAGGAAATCAGAAACTCCATTCCCTTCCCTGAGGTCTGTCTGTACCAGTAAAGATAGTCATGGCCTGAAATTGGCTCACAACTCATAGTCACATTTTGTCCCTTCTTTGTTACCTTCTGCCTGGGTGTCTGGGTGACTCCAGCATGTGTGGGCTCTGTGGAAGAGGACAGAGTTTGGGAACAAATTAAGAGACATAAATGGAAACAGAACTGGAAATATCAACAAAATGCGGATTCCTCATTTCTGGGGACTCACCTACTCCCAGGAGACAAAGGGCCACCCAGCACAGGAGCCTGGTGGCCATGGCAGGGTGGGGCAGGAGGTGACTTCTGCCACGTGAGGCCCCTGTGAACATGAATCAAGGGGCCGGGCTTCCTCTCTTCTGGGCTCCACAAGGTGGAGAGTGACGTCGATCCCTGTCACTGCTCCTGGGGTGGCCTCCCAAAGGTCAACACCAAATCTGTGCAGATATAACTGTCACATATGACAGTCACAAGTGACCGGGGATGTGGCCCTGCACCAGGGCTCTTTCTGGGGAGAAACAGCGCTCATCGCTCTGGTCTTTACCGCCCTCACTGCTCTGACTCACAGACTTTGTTTGTAGCGAATTCTTCTTTTCTGTTTTTGAAGATCTCACATGCACCGAAGGAATACTGGGGAGCAGTACTTGACAATGAACATGGTGTAACAGAGACAAATTTATATGGAGCACAGCACTAAGCATCACCCCTCTTGCACTTCCAGTCCCACTTTATTGAATTACGGGGAGAAACTTGATCTGTACATTTCACAGATTTGTGCTGGCTCATATAAATTTATAGTAAAACACGGCATACCTGAAAGACATGTGTTTTTGTTTTTTAGCAAAGTAGAAAGGGCTTCTAATCATCATCATGTAATTTCTAACATTTGAGAAAATACACAAACAGTCCTATGCGTCAGTAGATGTAAATCAATATCTGCATTTGCCTGCTTTCTTTATTCATATATGTATTTTTCACATGAAGGGGATCATGTCCTAATTTGAGCTCCATTACTAAGTTATTGTATGAGCTTCATTATTTAGTGATTGTACTGTTACAAAGTTTCTTTTTTAAATTAAAATTTTTAATTAATTTATTTTTTAGAGTAGGGGAAGGGAAGGGAAAAGAGTAACATCAGAATGTGGTTGCCTCTCATGCGCCCCCTCCTGGGGATCTGGGCATAACACAGGCATGTGACCTGACTGGGAAGTGAGTCTCTGACCTTTTGGTTCCAGGGCCAGCACTCAGTCCACTGAGCCACACGAGCCAGGGATGAAGTTTCTGATTTTAATAAAATGACACCAACACACCAGATCCGTGAAAATAGATTCTTTAAATGTTAGCAAAGCATCGTATTGACCTAAGCACTTCCTGTGCACAGAGGTGAACCAATGGAAGGCTCTTCACTGAGGATCAGGAATCCCTCTCAGCGACCAGGCTGTGTCGTCATCACTGCCCAATGCTCCCAGTGACTCAGGAACTCCCACCTTGTTGTCCGTAGGGGGCCCAGAGGGAGTAGATTTACCCCCACGTTTATATTAAAGTATCCAACATAAACCTTGTTAGGACAATGTGAGAATTAAGAACATATGACTTTAAAAGCTGTTAAGTACATGAACTGAGGGTCAGTGGCTAAAGCAATCTTAGGAGGATGGTGCTGAATTAGTGAGAAGGAAACCAACGTGAAGAGGTAGGAGAATGAGATGATTGAAATGGCAATTTTGGAAAGAGCTCATTGGTGTGTCATCCCACAGACTGCAATGACTGAAGTGTGTCTGAAAAGTGTGGGAGGTAAAAATTATTGCAAGTCAGGAGGTCAGGAGAACCATACACCAAACCCCTGTAGAAAGTGTCTGAGGGATGGTGACGTCTCCAATGGTGACATCCTCACTGGTGGGGGAAAGAAGTGAATGAGGACAGATCTGGCGGCAGAGAAATAGCAATAAGTTCAGCAACAAAGGGCGATGTTCTGAGGCATGTGTGTGAGGGGTGGGTGTTGAAGCTGGGAAGATCGGACTGGTCTGAGAGGAGCAGGGAAGACCCAGGAGGATGACGAATACACTGAAATAGAACACAAAATGGTCAATTCTATGTTGTGAAATAAATACAGAAGAACTTTCCTTGCTTCCCATCTGAAAGGGCAGAGGACCTTAATGGTGTAACTAACAGAATGATAAGTGCAATTTGGCTACATGATACAACTCTAGAAAATATTTGTGTGTGTGTGGTGGGGAGAATTCTGTTAGCATCTTAGAGGGAAAGAAGAATGGAGGGCTGAGGAGCCCTTAGCAGAGGCTCCTACCATTTAGAAGGAAAGGCCAGTGCAGGAAGGCAGGAACATGCACTGTGTGGGTAACTAAGGTCTATGTCCAGATATGCAGAGTGTTGAGTTCACAATGTGGGAGGAAAACCTAAAGTGCATTTCTACACTGTTCCCTACACAAGAATTTTAAATATATAACTTATCCTTTCTCTCCTTGTCATGTCCAAAGATACACATGCCATCTGGTGAGAATGGAGCAGAGAAGTCTTTTATTCATGACACCTGGGCGCTGAAGGGGAGCAGGAGGTTTCTGCACAGGAAGGGGGTGACTGTGCAGCGCTGTGGCTAACTGCTGGCACAGAGGTACACGGCCGAGTCCCCGGGTTCTGTGGGCTGGATCTTCAGAGTGGAGAATGACTTATTAAGCATCTCAGCTGAGAATCGCTCATTGGGCATTCCTGACTTGTCCAGAAGTTTGGCAAACCTGAAGGAAATCAGAAACTTTATGCCTTCCACTGAGGTCTGTCTGTACCAGTAAAGGTAGTCATGGCCTGCAATTGGCTCACAAGTCAGAGCCACTTCTTGTCCTCGGTCTGTCACCTTGTGTCTGGGTGTCTGGGTGACTTCAGCATGTGTGGGCCCTGTGGAAGAAGACAGAGTTTGGGTATAGGATAAGGAACATAAGTGAAATCACAGTTGGGAATATCAAAAAAATTAGATTTTTTCATTTTTGGAGACTCACCTCTGCTCAGGAGACAGAGGGCCACCCAGCAGAGGAGCCTGGTGGCCATGGCAGGGTGCGACAGGCAGAGGCTCCACCCAGGCTAGGCCCTTGTGACCCTGAACACAGGAGCAGGACTTCTGGTTCCTCTGGGCTCCACAAGGTGGAGTGTGTCTTGGTAGTGACATCGCTCTCTATCATTTCTCACAGGACCTCCTACCAACAGTGGACATTAATTGTCAGTTGAATTGACTGGAATAGGCCATGTCTCTTTTAGGGTTTGTTTGGACCATTCAAAGTCTCCGGGACTTCTATCAAGTGTCACTTCTCACAACCCTGTGCTTCCACCATTCCTTGTTCCCTGATGTTCCATAGTCTACCATCTGCCTGCCATGGCAACATGCGTGTGCCATAGCCACTGCAGAATGTGTCCAAAAAGACAATACTCTGATCTTCGCATCCTTCATAGCCCTGTCAAGGCACTGCCTGACTCCCAGACACACAAATCTGAGTAATTCCTGGCTGAGCTGGGGCTTTTTCCTAATCTGTCCCAGAATCATTCAGATTGCACACAAGGGTGATTGTGAAGGGAGGGAAACAGATGCCCTGGGAAAGGAGGGTTGGAGTCAAGCAGCATTGACTTTATAGAACTAATCCTTGTTCGTGGTTTAGATAATGTGAGAAATAAGACCTGAGAGTTTCAGAGCAGTTGCCCATGTGGGCTGAAGTTCAGAGACTATGAGAATCACAGGGAGTGGATTCTGCATTAAAGAAAGGAGAAAGACATAGGAACATGCAGTGATGAAATGGACATTTTGGAAGGAGAACATCTTTGTTCACTGCATGGTCTCGACTTGGACGTGCTCTTGGATAGGATTGGAGACAAAATATTACTTGAAGTGAAGAGATCAGGAAGCTGGGAAGCAAGCCCGTGTATAAATTGTCCACAGGCTGATGGAGTTCCCAGTACTGGCAGGATCCGTGGTGGGGAGGAAGGGGAGTGAGGACAGGCCTGAGGGTAGAGAAGTCAGGGCAACATGAAAGGCCGTGTTGTAATCCACCTGTGTGAGGAGCTGTGTAGTAAAGCCAGGGAGAGGCAAATGTTCTACAATAAGTAGTTAGGATTTGGAGGACCAAGAATGCACTGAAATTGGACAGAGAAGCAGATTCCAACTCTTGATATCAAAGTAGGAATTTTATTCTATTGCTAAATTGAAGATCAGGACCCCTGGATGACAGAATGAACAATGATGAATGGAATTTAGCTATAAGAGAGACTCTAGAAAACGTGTGTGTGTGTGTGTGTGTGTGTGTGTATGAATGTGTGTGTGCACGCGCGTGCACGAGCATGTGTGTGTGGTCCTGGAGGGATCTGTTAGCAGCTTAGAAGGGGAGGAGAATGGGTGGCTGAGGAGACCTTACCAGGATCTCCTCTGATTCAGGTGGAAAAGCCAGGGCAGGCAGGCAGGAGCACACACAGTGCGGGTAACTGAGGTCTGACTCTCAGGTGTGGGGAGTGCTGAGCCCACCGACAGTGAGTGAGGAAAACCTGAAGCCCACTTCCTACACTGTTCCCTGTGCTGGGGTTTCTCTCTTGATACCTTTTGCTTTCTGCCCTTGTCATGCCCCAAACTCACACATGTCTCTTGGTGACAGCGGAGCAGAGAATATTTTTACTCAGGACACCTGGGGGCTGATGGGAGAAGGGGAAGCAGGAGGTTTCTGCACACGGAGGGGGTGACTGTGCAGTGCTGTGGCTAAGCTGCTGGCACAGAGGTACACGGCTGAGTCCCTAGGTTCTATGGGCTGGATCGTCAGAGTGGAGAATGCCGCACTGGGCATCTGAGCTGAGAATCGCTCACTGAGCAGACTTGTCTTGTCCAGGAGTATTGTACTGCCGAAGGAAGTCAGTAAGTTTATGCCTTCCACTGAGGTCTGTCTGTACCAGTAAAGGTCATTATGGCCTGAAATTGGCTCACAACTCATAGTCACATCTTGTCCCCTCTTTGTTACCTTGTGCCTGGGTGTCTGGGTGACTCCAGCATGTGTGGGCTCTGTGGAAGAGGACACAGTTTGGGATCACGATAAGGAACAAATGGAAACAGAACTGTAAATTTCAACAAAATGCGGATTCCTCATTCCTGGGGACTCACCTACTCCCAGGAGACAAAGGGCCACCCAGCACAGGAGCCTGGTGGCCATGGCAGGGTGGGCAGGAGGTGGCTTCTGCCACGTGAGGCCCCTGTGAACATGAATCAAGGGGCCGGGCTTCCTCTCTTCTGGGCTCCACAAGGTGGAGAGTGACGTCGATCCCTGTCACTGCTCCTGGGGTGGCCTCCCAAAGGTCAACACCAAATCTGTGCAGATACAACTGTCACATATGACAGTCACAAGTGACCGGGGATGTGGCCCTGCACCAGGTCTCTTTCTGGTGAGAAACAGCGCTCATCGCTCTGGTCTTTACCACCCTCACTGCTCTGACTCACAGACTTTTGTTTGTAGCAAATTCTTCTTTTCTGTTTTTGAAGATCTCACATGCACCGAAGGAATACTGGGGAGCAGTACTTGACAATGAACATGGTGTAACTGAGACAAATTTATATGGAGCACAGCACTAAGCATCACCCCTCTTGCACTTCCAGTCCCACTTTGTTGAATTATGGGGAGAAACTTGATCTGTACATTTCATAGATTTGTGCTGGCTCATATAAATTTGTAGTAAAACACGGCATACCTGAAAGACATGTGCTTTTGTTTTTAGCAAAGTAGAAAGGGCTTCTAATCATCATCATGTAACTTCTAAAATTTGAGAAAATACACAAACAGTCCTATGCGTCAGTAGATGTAAATCAATATCTATGCATTTGCCTGCTTTCTTTATTCATATATGTATTTTCACATGAAGGGGATCATGTCCTAATTTGAGCTCCATTACTAAGTTATTGTATGAGCTTCATTATTTAGTGATTGTACTGTTACAAAGTTTCTTTTTTAAATTAAAATTTTAATTAATTTATTTTTAGAGGAGGGGAAGGGAAGGGGAAAGAGAAACATCAGAATGTGGTTGCCTCTCAGGCGCCCCCTCCTGGGGATCTGGGCATAACACAGGCATATGACCTGACTGGGAAGTGAGCCTCTGACCTTTTGGTTCCCAGGCCAGCACTCAGTCCACTGAGCCACACCAGCTAGGGATCAAGTTTCTGATTTTAATAAAATGACACCAACACACCAGGTCCGTGAAAATAGATTCTTTAAATGTCAGTAAAGCATCCTATTGACCTAAGCACTTCCTGTGCACAGAGGTGAACCAATGGAAGGCTCTTCAGTGAGGATCAAGAATTCCTGCGAGAGACCAGGCTGTGTCACGATCACTGCCGGATGCTCTCAGTGACTCAGGAACTCCCACCCTGCCATCCATAAGCACGCTGGATTTACCCAAGGTTCAAATTAAAGTATCCACCAATAAACCCAGTTTAGACAGTGTGAGAATTAAAAACATGTGAGTTTAAAAGCTGCTAACTAAGTACATGAACTGAGGGTCAGTGGTTAAAGGAATCTTAGGAGGGTGGTGCTGAATTAGTGAGAAGAAAACTAATATGATGAGGAAGGAGAATGAGTTGATTGAAATAGAAATTTTGGAAGGGGGTCATTGGTGTCTCATCCCAAAGATGGGAACTACTGAAGTGCATCTGAAAAGTGTGGGAGGTAAAGATTATTGGAAGTCAGGAGATCAGGAGACTGAGACACCAAACCCCTGTGGAAAGTGTCTGGGTGATGGTGATGTCTCCAGTGGTGACAGCTTCACTGGTGGGGAGAAGAAGTGAGTGGATCTGGTGGTAGGGAAGCAGCAAGAAGTTCAGCAACAAAGGGCGATGTTGTGATGCATGTGTGTGAGGAGTGGGTGGTGAAGCTGGAGAGGGGCCTGGTCTGGATGGACAGGGAGGTCCCAGGAGGATAAAGAATGCATTGAAACCAGATGTTAAATGTTCAGTTCTATGTTGTGACATAAACACAGTAGATATTTTATTGCATTTCTATCTTAAATGGTAGAGCACCTTAATGGTGTAATTAAGAAAATGATACGTGGAATTCGTCTGCATGAAGGAACCCTAGAAAACATGAGTGTGTCGTGGGGGACAAATCTGTTAGCATCTTGGAAGGAGAGGAGAATGGAGGACTGGGAAGCTATTAGCAGAGGCTCCTACTATTCAGATGGAGAGGGCAGTGCAGGAAGGCAGCAACGGGCACAGGGTGGATAACTGAGGTCTGTCTCTCAGGTGTGTAGAGCTTTGAGCCCACAGACAGGGTGCGAGAAAAACCTAAAGCCCATTTCTTACACTGTCGCCCATGCAGAGATTTCTCTGTTGATAAGTTTTCCTTTCTGCAATTGTCATGCCCCAAAACAGAACATTTCTCTGCATGACAGCACAATAGACAAGTCTTTTACTCAGAATTTCTGGGGGCTGGTGAGATAAGGGGAAGCAGGAGGTTTCTGCACAGGGAGGGGGTGACTGTGCAGCGCTGTGGCTAAGCTGCTGGCACAGAGGTACACGGCTGAGTCCCCGGGTTCTGTGGGCTTGATCGTCAGAGTGGAGAATGACGTATTAGGCATGTGAGCTGAGAATCGCTCCTTGGGCATTCCTGACTTGTCCACAGGTTTTGCATAGTTGAAGGAAATGAGAAACTTTATGCCTTCCATGGAGGTCTGTCTGTACCAGATAAGGAAGTTCTGGTCTGAAATTGGCTCACAGCTCATACTTACTTCTTGTCCCTTCTTTGTCACCTTATGCCTGGGTGTCTGGGTGACTCCAGCATGAGTGGACTCTGTGGAAGAGGACAGAGTTTGGGACAAGATAAGGGACACAAACGGAAACAGAACTGGGAATATTAAAAAATGCAGATTATTAATCTCTGGGGACTCACCTACTCCCAGGAGACAAAGGACCACCCAGCAGAGAAGCCTGGTGCCCATGGCAGGGTGGGTGCAGGAGGAGGCATCACACAGACGAGGACCTTGTGACCCTGAACACAGGGGCAGGGCTTCTCGTTTCTCTGGGCTCCACGGGGTGG